TTTCTATTAGAGTTTTGCGCAGTGATAATGGTCGTGAATATCTTTCTCATTCTTTTAAACAATTCGTGGCTTCTCATGGTATTTTGCATCAAACTTCTTGTGCTTATACACCTCAACAAAATGGTGTAGCTGAACGTAAAAATAGACATCTTATTGAAACAACTCGCACTCTTTTAATTCATGGAGAGGTTCCTCAGCATTTTTGGGGTGATGCTCTTCTTACTGCATGTTATCTTGTTAATCGCATGCCATCTTCGGTTCTAGATAATAAAATACCTCATTCCATTTTATTCCCTCATGAACCACTTCATCCCTTACCTCTAAAAGTTTTCGGGTCTACATGTTTTGTTCATAATTTTAGTTCTAGTCTTGACAAGTTTTCTCCTAGATCACAAAAAGGATACAAATGTTTTTCTCCTTCTCTTAACCGTTATTTTGTGTCTGCAGATGTCACCTTTGATGAGTTCTCTTTTTATTTTAAAAGTCAATCTTCACCTCTGTCTCCATCCAATATTGTCAACACTCCTAGTACATTTAATATTCCTGTTGTTTGTGACCCTCTAACTGTGTCTTCTTCATCATTAGATTCTACTCCGCAGTCAACTTCTTCTTCACTACCTCTTCAAGTTTATAGTTGCTGAAACCAATCACAACCACCACCATGTGACTCTACTCAAGTGTCAACTACTCTGTCTCCTCCAGATGTGACACCTGAGTCTGACCTTCCCATTGCCCTCCGAAAAGGTATCCGTTCTACATGTAATCCCTCTCCTCATTATATTGGTTTGAGTTATCATCGACTGTCATTACTTTTTTATACATGTCTTTCCTCTCTTTCTTCTGTGACCATTCCAAAAACTGTCTGTGAAGCTTTAGTCCATCCTGGTTGGCGTCAGGCCATGTTAGATGAACTAAGTGCTCTTTATAATAGTGGAACTTGGGAATTGGTCTCGTTACCGTCTGGGAAATTTGTTGTTGGTTGCAGGTGGGTGTTTGCTATCAAAGTTGGACCTGATGGTACTATTGATCGCCTCAAAGAACGTCTTGTGGCCAAAGGTTATACTCAAATTTTTGGGTTGGATTATGGAGATACCTTTTCCCCTGTGGCAAAGATGACTTCTGTTCATTTATTTATCGCCATGGCCGCTCTTCAACAATGGCCTCTTTATCAACTAGATGTTAAAAATGCTTTCCTCAATGGTGATTTGCAAGAAGAAATCTATATGGAGCAACCTCCTGGGTTTGTTACTCAGGGGGAGTCTTCTGGGATGGTATGTTGTCTTTGCAAATCCCTATATGGCCTAAAACAGTCTCCTAGGGCCTGATTTGGAAAGTTTAGCAAGGTTGTTCAACAATTTGGTATGACTCGGTGTGAAGCAGATCACTCTGTCTTTTATCGACACTCAAGTGTTGGATGTGTTTACTTGATAGTATATGTTAATGACATCGTTCTTACAGGTAGTGACAACCATGACATCTCTCAGTTGAAACAACATTTCTGTCACCATTTTCAGACCAAAGATCTTGGCAAACATAGATATTTCTTGGGTATTGAGGTTGAACAGTCTAATGATGGTATTGTTATATCTCAGAGGAAGTATGCCATGAATATTTTAGAGGAAACTGGGTTGATGAATTCAAAGTCTGTTGATACGCCCATGGATCCCAATACTAAACTTTTACCAAATCAGGGGGAGCTTATACCTGATCCTAAACAGGATAGAAGATTGGTTGGAAAATTGAATTATCTTACAGTTACTCATCCTGACATTTCCTTTGCAGTCAGTGTGGTAAGTCAATTTCTTAATTCCCCATTTGAAGATCATTGGAATGTAGTCATTCGTATCTTAAAGTATATTAAAGGATCTCCTGGAAAAGGATTGTTATATGATTCTAATAACCATACAAGAGTTGTTTGCTACTCAGATGCTGATTGGGCAGGATCTCCTTCGGATAGAAGATCTACATCTGGATATTGTATCTCCATTGGTGGTAACTTGGTCTCATGGAAAAGTAAGAAACAAAGTGTTGTGACAAGATCTAGTGCAGAAGCAGAATATAGAGCTATGGTCTCAGCTGCTTGTGAACTTGTTTGGCTCAAGCAATTGCTTAGAGAGTTACAATTTGGAGATGTCACTCAAATGTCACTTGTGTGTGACAATCAGGCTGCTCTTCATATTAGTTCTAATCCTGTCTTTCATGAGAAGACCAAACACATTGAGATTGACTGTCATTTCATTCGAGAAAAGATTATGTCTGGAGACATCAAGACTGAGTTTGTTAACTCAAGTGATTAGTTAGCAGATATTTTTACTAAATCTTTACGGGGTCCTAGAATTGATTATATTTGTAACAAGCTTGACACATACGATTTGTATGCTCCAGCTTGAGGGGGAGTGTTAGATATTGTTTAGATATTATTTAATATTGTTAAGATATTGTTAGATATTAACCATAATATCAAACAATATCTTCTGTTTATTCTGTTACTTTCAGTTACTCTTTTAGTTGTATCTCTCTACTATAAATAGACTACCCTATGTGTGATTTATACACAAGGGAGATTAATCCCAAACTCTATTTCTTCTATATTCAACAGTAAGAAAAGGAGGTGATGATTCACGAGGATGTGTGATAGGACTAGGATCATCTAAGACCCAAGAAAATTTGACACAACTAATGGGATAGGTAGTACCTCTTGGATGGAGTGAACATCTTGAATAGATGAAGAAAAGAAAGGAATTTGTTCAAAAAAAGTGACACTAGCAAACATGTAGTATTTTATTATTTCAAGAGAGAAACACCAATATCCTCTTTGAAGTTGAGAGTAGCCTAAAAAGACACATTTAACAGGCCTAACATAAAATTTATCTATTTTTGGAGATAAATCATGAACAAAACATACATAATCGAACATATGAGGAGAAATATGAAAGAGGGGGTCTTTGAGAAAGATAATAGAATAAGTAATCATATTATTAAAAGAAGATGTTATTCTATTAATAAGAAAATAAGCAGTTAGAACGACATCACCCTAATGATGGACTGATAGATTGACACCAAGTAATAAGGTATGGACAACCTCAATTAAGTGTCTATTTTTCCTTTCAACAATATTATTTTGCTTAGGGGTATGAGGATAGGTAGACTGGTGTAGAATGTAACGTGCATTTAAAATTGTAAAAAAATGAGAGGAGAAATACTCTTTGGCATTGTTATTTCTTAAAGGTTTTAATTACTTGACCAAATTGATTTTTGATTTCATTCAAAAAGATTGAAAAGATAGATAACATTTTTAAATAGTCTTTCATGAGATAAGTCCATGTACATCTGGAATATTCTTTAATGAATGTAACAAAATATTTGAAGTCAAAAGATAAGACATGACTAGGCCCCAAAATTTAGAATGAATGATAGAAAAACACAATTACATCTTGATTAATATTTTTTTGGAAAAGATGATGTAACATGTTTGCCTAATTAACATGACACACATTTTAACGCTTGAAGACTACAATGTTTAGAAACATTTTTTTTTTTTAGTTTTGACAAGTTGGAGAGTTTAGGTTTTGAGATGCAAAACAGGACAAAAGTGGACTAGTTCCAAATTCATGTTCTTCTTCAATCATTCACCCTGCACCACATTCTTGTATAACCAAATGATTAACATCAAAGGTTATTGAACAATTTAAATACTTGGTTAATTGACTTAATGAAATAAGATTGAAAGGACAATAAGATATTAACAGAACAAACTTTAAATTTAAAGAAGGTGAATGAGAAACTTGATCAACTCTCTTGGAAGGAGCTTTAGAACCATTGGCTGAAGTTATGAAATGAGGATTCTTGGAAAAGAAAAGGAATGAGAACAAGGATGTATTACTACAAATGTGATCAAAAGCACCTTGAGTCGATTATTCATGGATTTTGATTTTTCATACATAGTGAAATGCAACTTATTGATAGATTAGAAATTGAAGAATGTGCTAAGTTATTGGATTTCAACCTCAAATATTCATGATACTCTTCATCAGAGAATTTAGACTGGACAACTTCAACCTTAGTGATATTGATTTGTTAGGAAAGCCATGCAATGTGAAACCATTCTCTTGCACATGACCTATCTTCTTATAGTACGCATATTGATAGCATCATTGACCACTACTTCCTCCTTCAACATTACGTCTTTCTCTTTCACGTGTAGAAATCATGATGTGTAGAAATCATGATAGAAGATTCCATATCCTCTTGAAGGTTCTTGTTTTGTGGAAACTCGAAAGAGTCTTGTAATCAAACTTCCCATGGATGAGACTTGATGACCTGTTAAAAGTTTATCTCTGACATGTTCAAAATTTGGATGTAAGGCACGAAGGATCATAACCATATAGAATTTATCAAGCTTTTTCTAAAGACTCATCCTTAAAGAACATCTTTAGTTCTTCAATTGCAGATTGACCCTCACTAATGAAAAACATCATATCATGGTGTGACTATTTAACAAAGGCAAACCTATCGATAGAATCATCGTAGCGCTGAATATCATTTGCAAAAATATTTTAAGGTTTTTTCCAAAAATAATTGCATGTTTAAATGCTCTAATAGTTCCCAACAACTTTGATTCCACATATTGCCATGATAAGACACAAAGTTGAAAATCAATTTGTTTCCCTTTTTTAGCTATATCAGCTAGTACCTAACTCCTATCTTGTTCAAGGTGATCATGGAGACCTTGACCAAGGAACCATAGTTTAACTTAGGTAGACCAAGAAAGATAATTTTTTCAATTCAACTTTTTAGAGGTAATTGAAGGAGTTCTAGAGAAGGATAAAACAAGTACAAATGACATTTTTGGTTGGAGAGTGAAGGGACACACAATATCAACATGACAACTTTAGGTTTAACTTAGGAGAACCTAGAAAGAATCTTCAAGCAAGTTGGAAAGAGGGACCTAGTGATTGGAACAATGTTAGGGATGTCCATTGAGTGTTGACAAAGATGCACTAAGGGGATCTGATGAGAGAAGAATAGTGCATGGACCCCACGCACGAGGCGAATGTGCAAAAAGGTTGAGTGCATGATGGCGCGTGGCTAGGAATCTCAGCCTGAGACCGACAGGGTTGGCTATCGCTCAGACGGGTGATTACCGTAGATAATTGGATGGTGGCCAATGATGAATAATGGCGATGATAATGGCTTTCTCACTAGATATGACTATAGACCAACAAAGTGGGTTCACACTCCGATACTAAAGTTAAATAAATGAGAAAAAATATACTTTTGGAGGACTTACACCTCTAATATGATCTCTTATATATAATGCTAAAGTACATATATAATGAGTAGATGGAAAGTCAAGGAACTAAAGTCTGAATCAGAAACCTAAGTACTAAGATAGGTATAGTTCTTAGGTTAATACCAACACAAATCTTTGGAACCATGAAATGCATTGAAAACAAGGTGATAGTTTTGTAATTAAAAAGTGGAAACAGAGAATGAAAACAAGACATCAGATGCAAGTAAGAAATCCAAGAAGGGTGCCTAAAAACCTAAATTCATTCGACCAACTTTGCCAATTTGGCCTTATTAATTATTGTATGGGCATATTGGTATGCATCACATGTATCTAGATAATCATACTAAATATTGATCCTTGCACCACAAATCCATCCTTTTCTCCCATATGACAAACCTAAATTACAATTTTATTTAATTATGAGAAATAAATGTGCAAACATATTTTGAGTATTAAATGGCCAAGAATTGAATGTATACCTAAATATGATACGAACGATACGTATCCGATATGGCTATTCGTCTTATATTAAAAAATATAAGGTACGATACGAAAACCTCTTAAGATATATATATATATATATATATATATATATATATATATATATATATATATATATATATATATATATATATATATATATATATATATATAATTCACACGTTAGAACACGAAAAAAAGAGAGGAAAGTTTCACGTTAGAAGATGAAGGGAGCGAAAAAAGAAAATCAAAGAGAAATAAATGCAGGAATTGATAAAAAACAAACTAAAGGAAGCGAGAGAAAATCAAGGACAAACAAACGATAATAAGGAAACTATAAGCTCTTAGAAAAATAAATGTTAAAGAAAAGAGATATGTATTTAAATAATCAAAATCTATTTTGATAAATATTTAAATAATTTAAATATGTTTTGATTAATTTAACAATAATAATAACAAAAAAAAATTGTTATTCTATTTTTATTTTTGTTCAGATTTTTTTTTACCGATTCTTTATATTGGCATTTTCAAGGTATCCATCCATCATAGCTAGTACCTATAAAGCACTACATAATTGACAATTTTTAAATCCAGGATGCTAATATTTATTACCTGATCAAAGTGCAAGTAAACGTGGTAAAACATGTAAAAGAAGAGAAGTATTCTGGCAACCTGCAGATTAACCATTTTGGTAAGTAACCCAAGAAGGCAAGAAAGAGAAATCTATCAATCTTACCAAATATAGTAATATTTTAATGTGTACGTGTGTGAGCATGTATTTCAAACTATTGACTCACCAGCCAAGAAATGAATATTACAATCCCATTGATGAGATAAGCTTTGGACTTTTTCATTCCAGCTACATCAAGATACCTTCACAAACACCGCAACATTAATAAAGAAAAATTTTATGAGAAAGAATAATATTATGAGAAACTAGAATTCATCTATAGGAGAAAGATTTACCATCTCAAATTGATCCCTGGAGTAGTTGTCTCAGAGATCAGGACCATGAACGTGTAAAGCTGTCCTTCCCCACTACACATTGAGTATGCTACTGCTACTAAAGACAACAGATGATGAATCACCTGAACCAATGTTAATATGAAGTCAGGTTAAATCCCGACCATAATCATCTCCAGCAGGGTTCCTATCAAGTGAAATTTCTTAAAATTGATTAAGAGGGTTCAATTAAGACAGTTTGGATTAAACTATGCACGTTAAGAAGATATCCTTACATACTCATATCCACCAAGAGAAGGAAAAAACCATAATATCGTCCCTAGATCAGAAATGAAGTAACCAACAGAAACCTGTCAGAATAAATATCAAACAGAATAAATAAAAGTTTCGCCAGATTAAACAAAGTAATGCAGATCACAAAATGACTGTCGAATGTATCAGTTCAACCAAGAAGATAACAAATCCAAAAGTCGATCTCAATCATTACAAGTAAAAAAATTACAATGAATATCTAAAATGGAAAATACTATAGAAGAATACAAACACCAAGAAAATGAGAAGAGCTATTAATTCAAAACGTGGGGAGCACATTGTGTAAATCGCAAAAGCAGATTATGGAAAAGACAGAATTGTATGTTAATGGAATGATAGGTGATTGAGGATTTGACAAAACTCTCAAATCTAGTCTGCATAACAATTGAAAAGAATACCTTATAGGCATCTTATACAAGAAAAAGCTCAATAAATTCTTAAGCTTCACCAGATCACAACATAAAAAGACCCAATAAGACACACAACATACAAAGACAATAGAATTAGCAATCAACATAACTGGTTTCTAATAGATGCTAGTTCAGAAACAGAATGAAAACACCTTTATGTCAGAAATTTCTTCTCATAGTGTAAATGTGATACTGAGTAGAGACTCAATACACTAGTACAGAAATCACTTTTAACATCGGGCTTTCCACATCGGTTCTTTAAGAACCGATGTAGAAAGTGAATTCAAGACTTTCAACATCGGTTCCCAGATGAACCGATGTAGAAAGTCTTTTTATAAAATTAAGAGAATTGTTACTGGAAGGATTCAAACCCAATACCTTAAAGTCAGAGACTGATACTCCAACCACTAAGCTACCAAGATTTTCTCGATAATAACTTATACATAAATTATATTTATATACAAATAAAAATGTATATCCATGTAAATATATAAATATAAAATATATAAATACAAATACAAATATATTTATATATTTATATGTTGGATGTGAGAGCGCGCTCGAGAGTAAAAGTGTGTGTCAAGTGAGTTTTCAAAATTTGATGTCAAATTTGTGAGCAAGTTTCTTTATATGAATTTGTAATTTAATTATAGAATATAATCTTTATAATTTATTTATAATAATATAGAATATAATCTTTATAATTAATTTATATAATGATATAAAATAAAGAAAAAAATTATTTTATATCATTATATAAATAAATTATAAAGATTATATTTTGTCATTAAGTTATAATCCATATAAAGAGACCCGCTCACAAATTTGACATCAAATTTTAAAAATTCACTCGACACACACTTTCATCCTCGAGCGCGTCCTCACATCCAACATATAAATATATAAATATATTTGTATTTGTATTTATATATTTTATATTTATATATTTACATGGATATACATTTTTATTTGTATATAAATATAATTTATGTATAAGTTATTATCGAAAAATCCTGGTAGCTTAGTGGTTGGAGTATCGACCTCCGACTCTAAGGTACTCGGGTTTCGAATCTTGCCGAGTGACAATTCTCTTAATCTGATAATAATTCAAATTCCTAAAAAAATATAAATAATAAAAATATAATATAAAAGGGTTATAAAAGGGAGAGGATAGTCTAGGAAACTCTAGATCAATATATAGGGTAATTAGAGATGTGTTATGAATAAATAAAATAAAAAAAAATATTAGACTTTCTACATCGGTTCCTTACAACCGATGTGGAAAGTCACACTTTCTACATCGGTTGTATCTACATCGGTTCTAGAACCGATGTTAAAAGTCCCTGGGAACCGATGTTAAAAGCCTATTTTGTACTAGTGATAGGGTATAATTCTCAAGAGAATAACCTTCCAGGCAATTGAGAGACCTGGACCTCGGCCCTACCAATGAGTTACCAAAATATAAGCTACCTCCTCTCATGGTTTTCCTCCCTTTTATAACAACTTCCCTCTAGTTTGTTACCTGAACAACTATAGGTAATATTCTGTTCAGTTACACTGAATAATGCCCATTGATTCCTAGCTGCCAACGTACTCCTCCTCAAATAGGTTTTTACTGGAGATACTACCAGTTTAATATGCTTAGAAAACATTCTTGACAATATTCATTTAATGTCAAATAGAAAATGTAACAAGAGGACTCCAAATTTCATTCTATGTTTGTCCAGATTAACAAGATTCTTGCCTAAATTCATATAGGTGCAAGTCCCAAACCCTGCCTCAGGAATTGTTGGAGAAGGTTTATTTATAATTGCAAGTACAAATCCATAAACAAATAAGAACTTTGGCAATCAAGCACAACATTCCTGCTATATTTCCATAAATTTCTTAACAAGTCCTACAAAATCAAACCAAGGTCTGTCATTGGCGAAGTTGCTAATGGGAAATCAAATAGTATTTTAGGAAAGAATAAATTAGAAAATTTGTAATCTCTAAAGATTTAAACAATTAGGAACAATCCCATAAATTAAGGGATCCTAGAATAAAATAGAGTTATTATATTTCCTAAAATATCTTAGGTTTCCTATATATATTTTGTATTATCTCTTTATATTAAAATAAAAAAAATAAGATTTCATTTAATTTAATTTTCCGGATCGTATCGGAGCTTCCGATCTAGGAAGTTTTGTCTGCACACTATAAACCCTGAGACGGCAGCCTATATTGCTTCTGCATTTTTCTTAACCCTAAGACGACAACCTGTATTGCTGCTGCATCGCACCTTCTTGCTATAATGTCAAGGGAAGAGGAAGTTGTGAACCCAATCCCAGAAACAGGGAATACCCAATCCTAGCAATCTAGAGAATTGCATAATATTCATTCTGCATATAGACTAAATGGAAGAAATAATTTGAAGTGGGCCCAACTTTTGCATACAGTGTTGAATAGAAAAGGGGGTAGCCAAACAGAAGAAAGAGGATCAGCAAATATGGAGAAGAAAGGTGATGGTCTCTGATGTACCTACTGCAATAAGCCTCATCATACCCGAGAGAAGTGCTGGAAGTTACATGGGAAGCCTTTAAATCGAGATCGAGAAGGGGGCACAGAGGAGGCTCCTTAATGAAAGGTGCTGAAACAAATGAAGGAAATAATCCAGAAGCTGCTGCTCATCTTAACCAAGAGGAGATAGAAAGGGTGAGAACCTTTCTTAGTAAGCTGGAAAAACCTACAAGTGTGTGTTCTTGGCATACTCAGGTAAGTTTCCACTTTCTTTTGGATTAAATGTCTCAGATACACCTTTTAACCATTATTGGATATTGGACTCTGAAGCCACAGACCACATGACACCATTAGCCAAACACTTCTCCACATATTCCCCATGTCCCAGCAACAAGAAAATTGTCACAGCAGATGGAACCCTTATAACTGTAGTTGGTCAAGGAAATATCCAACTCAATCCTTTAATAACCTTAAAAGATGTTCTCCATGTCCCAAAGTTGTCCACCAACCTAGTCTCTGTACAAAAACTTATAAAGGATTTGTTATGTAAAGTTGTTTTTTTTCAACGATCATTGTGTATTTTAGGACAAGGATTCGGGGAGGATGATTGGATATGCTAGAGAATGGAATGGTCTTTATTATCTCAAAGATCCAAGTCTGTCCAGCAAGAACAGAATCTCTCACTCCTTCATATTTGAATCCTTGATGACCAACAGAGAAAAAATCATGCTTTATCATTGTCGGTTGGGACATCCCTCTTTTGGAGTGATCAAAATTATGTTTCCCTCTCTATTTACCAAGTTAGATGTTGAGAGTCTTCATTGTGAGGTGTGTGAACTTGCTAAGCACAAACATGTATCTTTTCCAATAAGTAATAGAATTAGCAATTTTCCTTTTTATCTTGTTCATACTGATGTATGGGGACATTCTAATGTTTCAAATGTGTCTGGTGCTCGATGGTTTGTCACCTTTATAGATGACTGTACAAGGGTCACTTGGGTTTTCCTACTTAAACAAAAATCAGAAGTCAGTTCTGTCTTCCTAAACTTCCACTCCTTGATAAAAAAATCAGTTTGGTGTTAATATTAAGAGGCTTAGGTCAGATAATGCCAAAGATTACTTCAATCATGTCCTTAATTCTTTTTATAAAAAAGAAAGTATAATTCATAAGTCCTCTTGTGTCAAAACACCACAGTAGAATGGGGTCACAGAGAGGAAAAATGGACATCTATTATATCAGACTCGGGCATTGTTGTTCCAAAAAAGTGTCCAAAAAAATTTCTGGGGGGAAGCTGTCCTTACAACAACATACCTTATCAATAGACTACCCTCTAGAGTCTCAGGATCAAAAAGCCCTATGGAAGCTTTGTCGTCTTTCTATCCAAACCTGTCCACTACAAATAATCTTAAATCAAGAGTTTTTGGGTGCATCTCATATGTCCATATTCATAGTACAGACAGGGGGAAACTTGATCCTAGAGCCTTAAAGTGTGTCTTTGTTGGTTACTCACCGACTCAGAAAGGGTATAAATGCTATCACCCCCCATTCAAAAAATTCTTTGTGTCTAGGGATGTTACCTTCAATGAACAAGAAGGCTATTTCCATCAACCTTATCTTCAGGGGGAGAGTTAAAGGGAAGATAAGGAAAGTAGTAATTCTGGTTTTCCTATTCTTCCAGACTTGATATTTGAACTTAAACGAGATCAAATTGAAAGTACCATTCTTCTAGACTTGATATTTGAACCTAAACGAGATCAAATTGAAATTGTAACAAGTGAAACAAGTCAAGGAATTGGTCAAGAAAAGGAAGTTGGTCAAGAAAGTGAAATTAATTGTGAAGCAGATCAAGGAGATGTTGAATCTGGAAAATTTGGTAAGAAGCTGGTGTACTCAAGGAAGGCTAAGGTCATTCCAGGATCAAGCCATGTTAAAGAATCCAACTCGACTCCACAAAAAGAGGTAACAATTTTTTCTGCAGCTGTGCAGGTTGAAATTGAAACCCAAAATGATCCTAACCTCCCAATTGTCATTAGAAAAGGGACAAGAAAATGCACCAAACAGCTACTCTACCCTCTCTCAAATTACCTGTCCTTTAAAAATTTCTCTCCTACCCATAAAACCTTCCTAGTAAACCTAAACACTACACTTCTACCTAATACCCTATCTGAGGCATTGTCTGACAGAAAATGGAGGCAAGTCATGGATGTAGAGATGGAGGCATTGGAGAAAAACAACACCTGGGAGTTAGTCACCTTACCAATAGGAAAGAGGCCAGTTGGATGTAAGTGGGTCTATACAGTGAAATACAAGGCTGATGGATCAATTGAGAGATATATAAGGCAAGACTAGTTGCCAAAGGGTTCACCCAAACCTAGAGTTGATTATTTGGAGACCTTTGCTCCGGTTGCCAAAATGAACACAGTTAGGGTGATATTGTCTCTTGCTGCCAATTATGGTTGGAACTTGGAACAATTTGATGTTAAGAATGCTTTTCTACATGGAGACCTTGAAGAAGAAATTTATATGGAGATACCTTTGGGATATGGTAAAGATGTTGTTACCAACACTGTTTGCAAGTTGAAAAAGGCATTATATGGGCTAAAACAGTCCCCTCGTGCATGGTTTGGCAGGTTTACTAAAGTTATGACAGGTTTAGGTTACAAACGAAGCCAAGGGGACCATACTTTGTTCTTTAAACATTCCAAGTCAGGGGAAGTAACAATATTATTGGTGTATGTGGATGACATAATATTAACTTGAGATAATAAAGAAGGGCAACAATTGTTGAGTCAATGCTTAGGCAAGGAATTTGAGATCAAGACCTTGGGAAAACTAAAATATTTTTTGAGAATTGAAGTTGTCCACTCCAAGAAATATTTATATCCCAGCAGAAACACATCATTGATTTGCTCAAGGAAACTGGCAAGGCAGCTTGCAAACCTGCTAGTACCCCATTAGAACCAAACCTAAAGCTTGGAAATGTAAAAGAAGATGTTGAAAAAGATATGTACCAGCGACTAGTGGGCAAACTTATATATTTGTCGCATACCAGGCTAGATATTGTCTATGCAGTGAGTTTAATTAGCCAATTTATGCATAACCCAATGGAGACCCATTTACAAGTAGCCCACAGAATTTTACAGTACCTTAAAGGAACTCCAGGAAGAGGGATTCTATTTAAAAGGAATGGTAATGTTAAACTTGAAGCCTATACTCATGTTGATTATGCAGGGTCAATTGTGGATAGGAGGTCAACTACAAGATATTGCACCTTTCTTGGAGGAAATCTTGTGACTTGGAGAAGCAAAAAGCAAGGTGTAGTGGCTCGGTCCAGTGCTGAAGCGGAATTCCGAGCCATGACACAATGTATATGTGAGTTGCTATGACTTAAAATCATCTTAGAAGACTTGAGGATAAAATGGGAAGAACTATGAAGCTCTATTATGATAATAAGTCAGCAATCAGCATAGCCCACAACCCAGTGCAGCATGATAGAACAAAGCATATTGAAGTAGACAGACACTTCATCAAAGAAAAGCTTGATAGTGGCTTGATATGCACTCCATATGTGTCATCTCAAGACCAAATTGCAGACATTTTTACTAAGGGACTGGGCTGTCACAATTTTGAGAAGATTGTATCCAAGCTGGGAATGGAAAACACCTATTCACCAGTTTGAGGGGGAGTGTGGGAAATCAAATAGTATTTTAGGAAAGAATAAATTAGGAAATTTGTAATTTGTACAGATTTGAACAATTAAGAACAATCCCATAAATCAAGGGATCCTAGAATAAAATAGAGTTATTATATTTCCTAAAATAGCTTAGGTCTCCTATATATATCTCGTATCATCTCTTTGTATTAAAATAAGATTTCATTTAATCTAATTTTCCAGAAACTATACTTGATCGTTGCTTCAATGATGCAACATGCATTATTTTCTCAGCTCAAGAATGCCACTTCTTTATCATGTCAGTCTATGATTCCTTTGTCTTTTTCTCCCCATGTGAGTTTACAATATTTGAAACTCCACTTCATGTTAATCATCAAAATCTTAGACATGATTGTTTAAATTTTCGCAAAAAAGAAAAATGCATATCAAACTGAAGCTATTTATGTTCAATTCTTCTGATCACACGTAAAATAAAAATAAACTATCTCCATGTTCTATTCATTTATTGAACTCAATTTATTGAAATTATCTTCAAATTTAATAACTTCAAGACCTTATACTTTATCGTAGGTCATGCTTGTAGTGGTAATTTGCAAAGATTTAATAGACAATCTACCATTAATCTAAACAAATGCTTCTTTATAAATGTAGATTTTTCTTTTACTATCACAATTAAGCTATACATATTGTGTGGAGAGTTTTAACTTGTAGTGGTAATTTTTCTTTATATATGAAGTTCACCAAGTCAAGT